TACAGAGAGAGGGAAATGACTCAGTGGATCATTTCCATATAAAGTTCTTGTCGCACAAGTGTGAAAATGGGTTTGAATCCCCAGAATTCACATAAGGCAAGCTTGTGTTTGTATTTCCAGTGCTGCTATGGAGAAGTTTGGAGGTGGAGGCTGGAGACTCCCTGGAAACTTGTGGGCCAGCAAGGGTAGCATATGCAGAGCAGCAGCAATCCAGGAAGATACTCTGCCTCAAACAAGGTGGAAGGTAAGGACCAACACCAGAGGTCAGGTTGTCCTCTGACCTCCATATGTGGCACATTTGTGCATGCATGCACACATACCAGAGTAAAACATACAAACAAATCAAAGAAAAAAGAAAGGAAACTCTCTGTATTCCTCCAGCAAGGAGTCTCATCATTTTCCTGTAGAGGTAAAGTACTTGAAAAAAAGATATCTACACTCATAATTTCTACTTTCTTATATCTCATGTATTTTCCTGAAATCCACTTTGGATATTATCATCAATGCCATCAAGTTGACAAATTCACTAGATCTTTTGAGACCTCCTCTTTGGGGACCTCGTAGGGTATTTAGCACAGCTAACTATTCCTTCCTTGTAACACTTCAGCTTGAGATACAAAATTCTCCAGGTTTGCCTCCTCCACCCCGGGTCCCCTTATTCCAACTTCTCAACACTGAAATTCTTTTCCCATCAGTTCTCTTTTTTTCTTTCATCACAGTCTCCTCTGAGTAATATAGTATTAATATTGGCACTGGGTGTATCAAAATTAAACTCTTGATATTACCTCTGATGGTCTTTCTGTGATCTGCTTTTTTCATTAAATGGTTTCTCTATTCTCTTCCATCTATAATTTGGTATACTAAAAACTTCAATGTCATTTCAGATACCCTTCCTTCATAACCCACCAAATCCAATCTAATAAAGCCTCCCCCACGAATGTAATTCTACTTCTTTGCACCTCTATTGCACCTCCTTTTGTGGTCTGCCCAGATTCAGTGGTGGTCCAACTGGCCTCTTTGCATCTCACTTGTCCTTTTGGCCCGGTCTTCAGACATTAACCACAGTGAACTTCTTGAAAATACCACTATTTCATTCTCCAGTTTATATATCATTATACTACATCATTCTTCAGTTTAAATTCCTTCCATTGATTCACTTCACACATAATAAATCTCATAAATATTAATAAGGCCAGTCATACACTTCACAATTGGGTTTCTGCCTAATACACCTTACAGCATCCCTTGCTTATTGTAACCAAGGCATCATTGGCTTTTTCTCAGTCTTTCAAATGCAATAGGTTCTCTGTCTCAGGATATCTTCCTAAACATTCTTCTCTGAATAATTCCTCTGTGAAATAGACAGTGTAGGCTACATTATGCTTTGGTAGTAAACCATCCCAACACCTCACTAGCTTATACTTAAAAAACACTTATTTATCAGAGGCTGGAGAGATGGTTCAATGGTTAAGAGCACTGGCTGCCCTCACAGAGGACCTGGGTTTGATTCCCAGCACACACATGGTGGCTAACAACCATCCCTAACTCCACTTCCAGGGGAATTTGACACCTTCTTCTGACTTCCTTGGACACTGCACAACCCAGGTGCACTTACACACATGTAGGCAATATACTCATACACATAAAATAAATAAAAAATAATAAATAAAATTTAAAAATCACACATCACTCACATCACAGTCTGATGCAGGTCAGGTAGTTATTAAGTGGGAACTCAGTAGCTTGGGATTCTTCTAAATTGTGGCACTTCTGTATTCAAAATGTAACTTTTGTGGCTGCTGTGGGCAGCAAAGGTGGTATTAATGATTGTGATTGTGCATGGGGTTTTCTGGCTAGGTTTGATAACAGCATGTCTGTCCATACCCCATTGGACAAATAGCAGTCAGAGGACCCTAAAACTGCAAAAGGAGGAAAAGAAGGAAAGAAAAAAAAGTCCTTCCTGTTTACCCAAGAAGAGGAAACAAGACTGGGGAGGATCAGGCCAGTTTCTGATACATATTATTGTCACCTTGATTTTTCTTTATGGTATGATCACAATGGAAAGCTTACATTTCTTTATGTGTTCATCTTAGATTTGTTTCTGTTCCCAAACTGTAAGCTCTATTAATAGCAAGGATGGTATCTGTTTTGTGTACACTGTGTCCTTAACACCTACCACCCCAATTGGTATATAGTAAGTGTGAACACCTACCACTACAACTGGTATATAGTAAGTGTGAACACCTACCACCATAATTGGCATATAATAAGTGTGAAAGTTGTTGCATGAGCAAATGAGCAACTGCACACAGTCATTGCCTGGCTCCAATAGCAGAAGTAGAAGTTACAGTGGGTGGAGTAAGCATGCCAGGTAGGTAAACCCAGGGAGCTGTGGCAGCAGTCCAAAGGGGCTCCCAGGCATCTCTATTTCATGGTAATCTGATGCAGGAATTGGCAAACTATGGCTTGAAGGACAAATCTGGACCACTGCCTATTTATTTAAAGGTCCATGAGCTAGGATGTCTTTGTATATTTAAATGGTTGAAAAAGAATTAAAATAATAATATATGACATGTGAAAATTATGTGAAACTCAAATTTCAATGTCTATAACAAGTCTTATGGGAACACAGTCTATTATTTATTTATTTATTTATTTATTTATTTATTTAATTTATTTATTTATTGTCTTTGACTGCTTTCCAGCATAATGGCAGAGTTGAGTAGTTACAAATGAGAATATACGGCTACAAAGCCTAGAGTATTTGCTATTTGGCCTTTGACAGAAAAATAGTTTGCTGCCCCTGATCTAATCCATGCTCAATTCAAACGACTATTTTGACATGAATCATGTTCAAGTGTACATCTTTAAGCCTCCTCTCTCTCTCTCTCTCTCTCTCTCTCTCTCTCTCTCTCTCTCTCTCATAATACTGGAAATTAGGCCCCAATTAATTCTATACTTGCAACAGTCTTTCTCTTCTCACTCTCTCTTCCCTTTGGTCTCTCCCTCTCACTATAATATAATCTTGGCACCAATTCTCAACAGAACAACTTTGATGCCATAACTAGTATTTGAGATTTCTCATCATGTACTAAATAAAATCCACAGCTCAGTACAGTATTTAAGATTCCCCATTAACTTGCTAAGATGATTCATGTTGTCAATTTGAATGGCTTTGGAATCACCTAAAAGACAAACCTCTGGGTGCCTTCAGGGAAGTTTAACCAAGAATACCCACCCTGAATGTGGGTAGCATCATCCCATGTACTGGGGTCCTAGACTGAATAAAAAGGAGAAAATTAAACACTACCATTCATCTCTGTCTGCTTCCTGACTGCAGAGACAACATGATGAGCAGCCTCATGCTCCATGCCTGCCTCTCCACGATGAACTGTACCCTTAAAGCTGTGAACCAAAATAAGCCCCCTCCCTTTTAAGTTGTTTTTGTCAGGTATTTTTTCACAGCAAGTAAAAAAGTCATTTACCTTACCTGTTCAACTGTTTCTCTTAGATCTCCATCTAGCCTTATCAATCAGTTCACCTACCCAGATTTTCTCTTCTCTAGATGTAGGCTCACATGTGAAATGTCTGCTGCTGGTATTTATATCTTACTCATCCTTAAATCTCCTACCCCAAATTCTTCCTTGTCCTAAAAGCCTTTGGGAATAATTATTGCCATAGGTGTGATTCGCTAATGCTTTGTTCTGTACCACATTTTTTTTTTTTCTTTTTGAGACAGGGTCTCACTATGTAGCACTAGCTGGAACTTGCTATGTAGACCAGGCTGGCCTCAAGCTCAGAGATCCACCAGTCTCTGCCTCCTGAGAGCTGAGATTAAGGGTGTGTACGACTAATTTGTTTCAAATTCTTTGTAGTTTTCCAACTAAATGCAAGTTATCAAGTTTTTCAAGTTCCATTAAAAGCGGTTTATGGTCAAGATTTGCTTTCTGTTTTACAAGACTCTCGGTCTTTGGTGCCCAGGAAGTGGAGTCAGATAAAAATGAAAAAATTTTGGGCTGGGGATGTAGCTTAGTTGATAGAGAGCTTGCCTAGCTGGCAGGAAGCCCAAGGTTCAGTCCCCAGCACTGCATAAACTGGGCACGGTATCTGCAATCCCAGTACTCAGGAAGCAGATCCAGGAGGACGTTGAAGCAAAAAGGAAAAAAAAAAAAAATTGCACAATTTCTCACCATGAACTAAGACTGTAAACACTTGGAATGTGCAAAAACTACTTGTATTTATTTTTAACTCATTTTTATTTATTTTGTGAGTGTGCGTTGGAGGTCAGAGGATAGCTCGAGGGCTCTAGGGGGTCCCTGGGGTTTAACTCAGGTTCTCAAGCTTGGCGGCAAGCTCCTTTACCCAGCAAGCGCCATCTTACCCGCCTCTATCTATGTTTAAATTCACTGAATTTATTTAGGGTTTAGTACAGCGAATAACATAATTTTAGGTGACAGCGTCTTCCAGGCAGCTACACACGCTGGATCGGCGCCTAGGACCCTCAGGCGCATGTGCAAACACGTGGGTGACAAGTTCTCTCCCTTCAGGGCCCGCCTCTGTCCACGGTAATTGGCGGACCAAACGTACCAATCACCTCCCGTAGCCTCTTTCGGTAGTAGCCAATCCCGGGCCCCGAGCTCCTCCTGACTACTAGACACTGTTTACTAACAGATCGAAGCTGGGGAATAAGGGGCGTGACCATCCCGAGGAGGTCAGGGGCGGGATGGCCTGGTCTGCGCATGCGCGTTAGAGGCAATGGGCGGGGCCGAGTCGCCGGTCTTTCCAATCCGAAGGTTTGTGCTTCTCCCTCTCCTGCCTCCCCGCCAAGCAACAACAATACAGGCGGCGGGGCGGGGCTTCCCGTGAAACGTCAGAACAGTTCGCCCAATGGGAGCAGGCGCTGGCAGACGCGCGCGCGCTGCATCCAATCGGAGCGGGCGGCGGCCGCGGCCCCCCTCCGGGCTGGCTGTGGGCGGAGCGGCCTGGCGGAGGAGGCGGAGGCGCAGGGGCGGCTGGGCTGCGCCGTACTAGCGGTGCCAGCCGAAGGGGGAGGAGGCGGAGGAGCGAGCCGCACGGCCAGAGCGGGAAAGACACTCGTGTCGGTGTCCGAGCGGTGGCGCCGCCTCACCTCGGCTCCCTGTGGCTTCAGCTGGGGCTGTGAAGGGCTGGGGGTCAGCTGTCCCCTCAGGCTCTCCAGAGAGCGACCCGCGGGATCGAGAAGATGGAGGAGAAGGGCGGCGGCGGCGGCGCGGGCAGCGGCGACGAGCAGCTCCTCACTGTCAAGCACGAGCTGCGGACCGGTGAGGGACCCCGCCCTCTGCCGGTCGCGCTGGTCGCGGGGGTGCGCCTGAGGGCGGGCGGGGACGTGCGCGGACTGTTAGGGGCCACGGGCCGGGGGCGGGGCCTGGAGCACTGGGGCGAACGGCGGGTCCCGGGAGCGGGTCGCGCGCTCCGGGAAGGCGGCCGAAAGTTTGTGGGCGCCCGGGCTGCGGCGTCCGCTGCCTGGACACCGGTCTGGCAGGACAGGATGCCTTCGCCGCCCGCTTCCCGCACAGGTGACACTTGTCACCGCATCCTGTCTGGGGCGCGAGGTGCGCCTTTCCTCGGCGCGGCGTGCTGCAGCCTGGTCTCTGCCCTGCAGTTGCGCCGGAGGTGGTCCTGGTGGGGGGCTGCGATCCTCGGACCGATCGGCGAGGCGGGGTAGCCTTCTAGGAGATAAAGAAGCTTCTCGGTCTTCTAGGATGGAGTTTTGCCCTTTGCAGTTCTAACGAAATACTCTACTTGGCCCTGGAATTCTTTCCAGCGGCTTTAGAGAAACAGCCTGTCAATGGAAAGTTATACGTGAAAGAGACCCAGCTAGCCGACCTTATGTCGCGCTTACATCCCGTTGCTGATCTCCGAAGCTGTGCTATGCTTTATACTTGTTCAGTTGCTTTGTCATTCTTTTAAGTCCGGGTTTTATTTTGGAAATTTCTTATCTGGACCAATCGGTAGTCCGTGTGTCGTCCCCCCCCCGCCCCCCGTGGAGTCTGGTCTCTTCTTAACTCTTTTTCATTTCTGAACGGAGAATGCATTTTAATGACCCGTTTGTTATTAACTTATTGCCAGTGGTGTGCGATTTTTCACACACACACATCTTGGACTTCATTATGTAGATAGGAAGTGTGAGTGGGAGGTGTCAGGTGTGAGCCTGGTCCATGGTCTTTCTGTTTTGAACACATTGTAAAGTTAGCTTTGCTCCACAGTTCTTTTAGTTTTTGTTATCTCTAATGAGATTGCTCATTAGCATTCCATTGGGTGCCAGTCTGGTGACTTAGTAGAAGATGTCAAATTCATGATTATTTAATTGAACAGTTTTAGGCAGTGTATTTTTGGTCATTTTGATTCTGTGATGTATCTTGAGTTAGTTATCCCGTAGTACATTTGACTTCCTAACAACCTATGTGGATTCGTTGGTTGAATTTCTCTCAATAGACAACTGATGTTTTTGTGACACGGTCTCACTATGTAGCCCTGGCTAGCCTGGAACTTGCCATATAGACCAGGTTGTCCTCAGACTCACAGAGATCCACTTGCCTCTGCCTCCTGAGTGGTGCGATCAAAGGCATGTGCCACCACGCCCAGTGACAACTGATGTTTTGAATAGTTTTTAGTCATTTTCTCAGTATATATTTATCCAATATTAATAGTAGTTCGAATCAGATGCAGTGTCAAGTGCTTTCTAGGTAGGGATTTTTTAATCCCCCCATTTTACATAATTATTCCTTGCTTTATGTGTGGAATCATATAGTACAGCAAAAGCTACTTGATCTCTTACGCTCCTCAGATGCTGATCATGGTGCACCAGTCTTTTGCTAAAGGACCAAGGAGCAACCTACTTGGTACTAGTAGTCAACCAGCTGCTCAGTTTCTAGATTTTGCAAACAATGCTAGTCCTGTAGAAAACAATGAGTACTGTTTTATTTCCCTTTCTCAGCTGTGAATCATCAGCTTCAAGTTTGCATTACAGTTTTTTTCTGATGGAACTTGAGATTATACTGAATTCATCAGTAACTGTTAACTGTCAAAGGAAATGAACAGTCATTTTATTGCTAAACACTTGAACAACTGACCAGATATAGTGGTCAAAACGCTGTTAAAATATAACTTGAGCCGGGCGTGGTGGCGCACGCCTTAAATCCCAGCACTCAGGAAGCAGAGGCAGGTGGATCTCTGTGAGTTTGAGGCCAGCCTGGTCTCCATGGTGAATGCAGGACAGCTGGGGCTACAGGGAGACCCTGTCTCAAAAAGACAAAAAGACTATATATATATATAAACTTGAAATAGTCTTCGGCAACCAGCTGTGCTGCTCTCAGTGTATGGTGCTGTAATGGGTGCCAGTCGTGATCTGATACTGTACCTTCTCAAAATGTGGACAAGCAAATCATGTTGGCAGTTGGTGTACAGTGTATTGTATGTCATTGGATTAATGAAAAAGCAATAGAAACTCAGTGTAAGGGCATGGCATTGCACCAGTGTGTAGACTAAGTATGGCATACCTGGACATGGACTTGGAAGAGATGATGATGAATCCCAGCTCTGCTGTTTGTCTGTATAGACTTGGAGAGTCAGTGCACTCTTTCAGACTCACTTCTTTCATCTGTAAAATGTGAGAATTGAATGAACACTGTTAGAAAAATGTTTATCTGGTTGCTTGGCACATAGTACGCACTAGGAAGTTTTGGTTGAATGTAAATCTATAAATCATATCACAATAGTATTGTAAAATGCATGAATTAATTAGTGTAACTTGGAGAACAAGTTTCTTGGTGGTTAGCCTTTTATCACATGGCCTGGCTATTATCTTTTTCCCTGTGTGTCTTGGGTTCTCAGGCAGAGTATAAACTCTTTGTAATTCCTGCTGCTGTTTAACGGTGTGTGCAACTCTTTTCAGTAAAAACACCCAGTACTATAATAATTCACTTGCCTAAGGAGGTGATAGCTCAGTGGGTAAAGTGCTTATTCCACAAGCATGTGGACCTGAGTTTCAATCCCCCAGAACTTGTGTAAAAGCTGGGCACAGTAGTGCATAGCTGTAATCCTAATGCTGCTACAGTCAGATGAGAGGTAGAGGATCCCTGGGAGCTTGCAGGCTAGCTAGCCTGGTGTACACAGTAGTGAAGAACAAAAGAGACCCTGTCTTAAACAAGATAGAGGTAAAGATTGATTTAGTCGCATGTGTCCACACTCACACTAACACACACACACACGCATGCACACACATTCTTTTGATATGATTGTAATGATTTTCATACTTTTAGATTGTTCATTGTATCTAGAGATCCATTGTGTCTCACAACCTTGCTGAATTAGTTTATCAGGTCTAATAGTATTTCAGTGGGTGCCTTAGTGGTTTTTGTTTGTAAGATCATATCTATCATATGTGGATAGAGGAAATTTCACTTCTTCCTTATAAGAATGCCTTTTTTGTTGTTGTTGTTTAATTTCCCTGTCTAGGACCTTAACTACACTGTTCATTAGAATCAGCAAGAGCAGAAATCCTTCTCTTGTACCTGATTCTAAGAGGAGAGCATTAAATATTCATTACTAGCTATGAGGTAGGCTCTGGGTTTTCCACAGACATCTTGTACAGATTAAGAGTTTCTTTCTATTTCCAGTCTTTTGGGCCCTTATTATTATTGATTTTTTAAAAATATTTTTGAGACGGAGTCTTCCTGTAGCCCCAGCTGGCCTGGAACTCCCTATATAGACCAGGCTGGCCTGGCTCTCATAGAGATCTGCCTGCCTCTGTCTCCTCCTGAGTGCTAGGATCAAAGCATGCACCATCACTCCTTGCTTTTTTTTTTTTTTTTTGGACATTTATTTAAATCGTGAAAGGATGCTGGAGTTTGTCAAATGCTTTTTCTTCATCTATTGGGATGATGTTGCATTGTTTCCCGTTTTATTGATGATGTTTGTTATATTGATTGATTTTTGGGTGATAAGCCGACCTTGTATTTTGGGATAAATCCTATATGATCTTGGTATATGATCTTTTTTATATGTTGGATTCATTTACTATTTTGTTGGGGACTTTTGTGTTTATTGTTTATTGTAGGTATTTGTCTATAATTTTTTTTATTACTTTGTGATGCCTCTCTGGTTTCTCAAAAATGTTCTTGCTTTTTTTTTTCTTGCCAGCAACTAAATATTTTACTTGTTTGGTTAATGACATTCATATTTAGGGACTTTTAAGTACAGATTTAACAAAGGTCAGAGGAGAGGCTATAGTTCTGATTCTGCTCCTTACTTTATGTGTGATCTGGAGTAAGTTACTTAGCCTTTCTGAGCCTGAGTTTTCTTATTCATAAAGCAAAGGTGTTAGACTGCTTACTAGAACAAAGCTGGTGCTTTATGGTGTTTTGATGCAGTGAATAAAAGTTAGGAGTTGTTGTTTGCTTTTAAAAATCATTGCATTTTATGAAATTAACCATTTAAAATCCCACTGAAAAAGAACAGTTCTCTGATTTTTTAACTAATAAAATTTCACACACACACACACACACACACACACACACACACACAGACTCACACATATGGAAGCCAGAGTACAACTTCTACCTAATTTACATAGTTTCCAAAGATCAAACTTAGATCATCAGGCTTTTGGGGCAATTTTTGGCAAGCATTTTTACCCTATAGAGTGTCTTGCTTGCCTGCCCTCTTAACTTGATTTTTGTTTATTTGTTTGTTTGTTTTGAGACAGGATCTCACTGTGCAGCCCTGGCTGGCCTGAAACTGGCTATGTAGACCAAACTGGCCTTGATCTCTCAGAGATTTGACTGCCTCCTGAGTGCTGGGACTAAAGGTGTGTGCCACTCTGCCCAGCCTAACTTGATTCTTGAGAGTTTAAAAGAAAATATCTTTAACTTTCTCTTGTTAATGTCAGAGATTAAGAAAATCATCTATTTGCACAGAGTGACATCTTACCCCTATGTCAAAGGGGATTCAAATATATTTTGTATTTCCAGTCTGTAGGGGGAAAACATCAACTCCAACATTAACCTCTGCTTTAAAGCAAGGAAGCATTTTAAAACTGAAGACAGGCATGTTTTGATGGGCAGGATTGAATTCTTCCCTATGAACAAGAGGCTGATGCTTGAAAGCTCCTTTAGAGAATATTTAATACCATTGTGTGTTGGTTGCATTTCACAGTTAATTTCAGGTTGAGAAATGTCAGTCCTCAAATGTGGTAGGAGGGGAGGGAAGAGTTGTCACAGTCATCACCTTTGAGTTCTCCGAATGACTAGATCTCTCTAGT